CTAGATAGTATTAAGGAGACACTTTAAAGGGGACCCTTCTTAACCATACTTGTGGCCCTCTTAAAAGGGACCTCATTGAAGGATCTATATCCCCAAGGGTCCCCCTAATCCTAACCCCTACGGCTTCTCAGTCAACTTGTAGATTCCGGCTCCAGAAGCCTAAGAAACCAAGCCAAATCCAGGCCAAAATTCATCCCAAGTCTAACCCTAAACCCTAAACCCTAAACCCTAAACCCTAAACCCTAAACCCTAAACCCTAAACCCTAAACCTAAACCAGGAGGCTGAGGTGGACGACTTCGGCGACGCAGAGGAGGCCAGGACAAGTAAGCGCACGAGTTGGCCTGCCTGCTCATGTTTTCGGGACCCTAAACCCGAAACCCTAAACCGTGAACCCTAAACCCTAAACCCTGAACCCTAAACCCTAAGCCTTAAACCCTACCCTACACCCAAAAAAATTATGGTTCAGAGCAGGGGCTTCGGAGGTTTAGTGCTCTTTCAGCCTTGTTTGGAGCTCCTGCCCCTAAGCTCGAACCTCCAATCCCTAAGCCCTCAACCCGAAACCCTAAACCCCAGAACCCTAAGCCCTAAACCTCAAACCCCTAAGCCCTTAAATCCTAAACCCAAAACCCCTGAACCATAAGCCCTAAACCCTAAACCCTAAGCCCTAAACCCTAAACCCCAAACCCTAAACCCTAAATCCTAAACTCCAGCACATAAAGCTGGAGTTCTTGGGTTAGAGCATCGGGCTCGGTCTTCGAAGGAATGACTGACATAACATGGGCAGTTATGAGGGTCCCTGTTAGGACTCTTTAGAGGGATCTGTAAGGGTTCCTATAGGGTTTCTATAAGGGTACTATAAGGGTCCTATTAGGGTTTAGGGTTTAGGGTTTAGGGTTTAGGGTTTAGGGTTTAGGGAGTTCTCCAAGTTCGGGTCCATTTAGAATCCTTTTTAAAGGGGTGCCGTCGATTTGGGGGACCTAAAAAGGGGCCGCATTTCACAGAACTGCCCATATAGCGTGATTAGTAGTAATGTTTGCCTATAGTTCCCATGTAGAACGTGAGTAATCCCGTTTCCTGATCGCTTCTACATAGCCGCTGGAAGATATATCCACCCTGTTCTAAGTAAGAGGATATTTCCAGGATTTTCCAGGCACCCCCAGTAAACCCTAAACCCTGAACCCTAAACGCTAAAACTTAACCTCTAGACGCTAAACCCTGAACCCTAGACCCTGAAACCTAAATAAACCCTAAACCCTAAACATCCTAAGCCCTAAAACCTAAACCTTAAACAAAAACTTAAAACCTAAATTCTAAGCCCTAAAACCTAAACCCAAAAAAAACCTAAAACCTAAACTCTAAGCCCTAAAACCTA